TCATTCTGGAGGTGTCATAGCTTTGAAAGTATCAGACTGCAATAACGAAACCTGCAGAACCAAACTGACCCCAGGGTAGAGCTTCACGAAGTAGTCAGGCAAAATGTCAAAATTCAAATGGCATTCAAGCTCACATTTGGCTTTCTTTGAAAACAAAGCTGAAGAAAGATACAGTAACTCCATCTAGGCTATAAGAGCTAAGTTACTGAGCATTCCTAGGTTCAGCTGTTCAGTGAGAATAGCACACTGGTATCACGTACAGAAGCCTTTCAGGTCTAAACCAAAAAACTCCAGCAGAACTTGGAAATCTTACTAAGTCATACAAACACAGCCTCACTTTTAATCTACTGATCACCAAAATGGTTAGTCCCAAGGCAAGCAGGTCCCCTTTCTGTGCTACACAGGACAGTCCACACTATTCTCTGCAAACCACTCTGCTCTTTCACAGCAGTTCTGTCCTCTGTTGGGAGATCTCCTCTTTTGCGGATGCCTCAATACATACACAAAAGCAGCCTCCAAATGGGAATGGCTAAATGATATATAACTTATTCCCTGGTTTTTACTCCATGAATGCAGTTTGCCCAGTGTCTCCAAGCAAGCTACATAGAGCACCAGCTGCAGATGAAAATTAAAAATGGGAACTAATTCAGCTTGGGAGAGAAGACAGAACAAAAATCCCCTCGCTGTGACAGATGGACACCTCAGCTGTGAGCTGCTAGCAATGCAAGTATCTACGTAATGAAACTTATCCATAGCTACTTGCTTTTTCTTATCTGTTACTCAAGGTGAAACTCTATAGCCTGGACAGCTCTTACAGAAGGCATTTCAGTTCCCATCTCTCAGTGTAAGAGGAGGTGACACTGCAACGTGTTTTAGCAGGAGAAACACTTAACTGCATGAATTCTGTCTACTTCATTCTACTTCTTCTGTCGTTGCGGTATTTTAAACAAAACTCCATGAAAGACCCTTAAAGGTGTCATTCATATGTGCAGATCAAAGGCAAAATAATTATTTGAGATGCTTCCATTATAGGGATTTTTTTAATGTGGTTATTCATCAAATAATTCTTAAACTCTAGATGTAATTTAAATACAGCTATATCTGGTTAATCCAATCAATTTAGAAAGAGTGGTTCTAGTTAGATTATAAAAAAACCTCCAGAACTGTCTCATCAGTGATACTCATATGATGTGAGACTGGTTACCAGCTAAATGTGCTAGACAGAGAGACAGCTGTACAAACCATGATGGATTAACCAGACTTGACTGCACCTAAAAATAAGTGCTACCCATAAAAATGCTAGAACATGACAAAACAGAATTGTCATAAAAATATAGCCAGTGATCACTGCTAATAGATTCTTAGTAAGTTAGGAGGGTGCATGGCTATGAGATAAATGTGCTGAGTGAAAATCTGCTGGACTATGTTTAAATAAAATATACTTTCTGTGCACAAATAAGAAACAAAGACCATGCTGTTGATATACTGTTATCTTTCTTTGGCCCCCAGGGGTCTATGATGAGTCCATAGCTGAAAACCAATTTCAGGTATGATGAGATTAACCAGGTGCATTAATTATCTGATGGCAAAAGAATTTAAGGGCAAACAAAAAGGCACTCGATCGTAGATTTTCTCTCTGCACTAGGACTCATCCTGAAAGATCAGTCTCCTATTTTGTTCTAAACATCTTCAGCTGGAAGCTTACAGGAGCTTAGGGAGTTCAGCATGTTGTAGGATTGTATCTTTTACACCTAAATCAGATTATATATAAATACAGTGGGTTTAGTTCTCATTTACACTGGCAGATAATGTATCAAGACCTTGATGTGAATGAGAATCAGGTTCGTGATTGGCCAAATTCAGCCAAGCACTTAAGTGTGTGTTTAATGCAAGTACGTGTGTGGTCCAATCGACTCCAAATTAAGCATGCGCTTACACATCTTGCTGAGCAAGAATCAATGTTTGACAAAGATATATATTTCATTTACGGGTCTCTGTTCAACAAAATTAAGCAGATGTAAGTGCAAAAATAAGAACATAATACTCACTTCTTGGCTCCCTTGGCCCATCCACTGTAACCTTTATAGCTCTGTGGTATGTAGCGACTTGGGGGGGATTTGTCAGGACAGTTATTGTCAAAGTAAAGCTCTTCCCTACAAAGGGAAAAAAACAACAAGGAATGAGTGATTACAACATGAAAACAGTCACATGCATGTTCAGTAAAGAATCGGAGACGTTTAAAATTATTCCCTGTCGTTACCACAATCGTGAAAATTAAAAACATAACTGACCATAGGAGTTTTCTTCCCCTTCAGTTTTACTCTATGTCAAGAATATGTCCATGTGTTGACAATCTAAATGTTTCTTATTTAATAATGGGTCATCATACAATGACAGAACAAAAGTGATTCACTGCTGAGGACAAGCCAAATTCTTTGCTGTATTGAAAGTGGTGTAAATTCAGAGCAAGTCAGATAATTTAAAAATTTACTCCAGTTTTGCAGCTGTGTGACAGAGAGCAGAATGTGGCCACATGTTATTTACTTCACACAGTTTTATCATTTCATTTGTTTGACTTGACTACAATAAGATGAGGAAAGAATATATTTTCCTCCTGGGAGTCATTTTAATGGGGAATCAGTGTCTCCTGTCCTTCATATGCCAGGGGTGATATAATGATATCATTATCACTGGAACACACTTTTTTTTTTTTTCCCCAACATATATTCCACCTACGAAACACTAAGAAAGCCCCCAACTTTCCTGTGAGGGTGAGAAACTGCTGTGTGCACGTTGCTATTGTTAAGTCTGTTTTTTTTTTTTTTTATTTTTCAAAGTTTGAATTCACACAGAGATTGCACAAGATCATCTGCAGCCTTTAGCTGAATGAAAACGCTAAAAAGAAATAAATAAAGGGAGCTGCCTGCGCCTGAGCGCACATTCTCAGAAGGCGCTGGCCCCCGTTCGGGAGACTCACTGACAGTTGTAATCTGTTAGATATGCAACGGTTAGTCATGTCAGATAGTCAAAACTGAAAACTGTTTCAAGACAGGAAAAGGTGGGCGTACAACAGTGACTCAATAAAACAGTCAGCAATCTTCGGCCTTCATGCTCATTTAAGCTACTTTACCAGACACTTAAAACTCTTCCCCCCCCCCCTTGTGTGTATACGTGCATTTTTGTTGCTAGGGCTTTTCCTCTAGCTGAACTCTGAAGGCATTCAATCAAGACACAAATCTTAAACGATATGTAACAGCGTAAACTTAGTGCAGTTTTTTTGACTCTAATATAGAACAGCTTATATATGAGGCATAACACAGAACAGAGCTTTGGCTGTCAAATCTAGTAATTGGTCTTTCTTTCTGGTCCAAGTCGCATATCCCCCAAACCTGCCTGAGACACGCATCATTTATTATCAGGAGTGCAACTTCAAACTGTCTTGGCTATATTTTTCACAAACTAGAATGTGACATGGATTTTTTTTTTAGGGAAATATAACTGCCATTGAGAGTAAAATGATTTTCCAGGTGTAGCTGCGCTCCAGCTGTGCCCACCTCTCAGAGAGATGCAGGTTAGAGGGGAGGTCAGGACCCTGGCAAAGGCGCAAAAACGTCAGGAGGCTGAATTCTGCCTCAGCGGAGATACGTGGCTGAAGGTGGCTTCCCCCAGTTTCATCGGGACATGGATTATTTCTCAGATCTTTTGAGAGCAATCATCACAGGAGAAGAGTTAGGTGTACGTAGGATGTCCAGTCTTTGTCCAGTCCTGCCTATCCGCCATCCCCAGAGGTAAACCGTGTGCCCTGCCAGCGTACAGCGTGTGGTGCAGGCAGCCATCAGACATACAGCAACAGCCCTACTGAAGCACATCGCGCCTCCACGCCTGCTTGTTTAGGGCTGAAAAGGGTCCATGCCTTTTATCCCTCTCCAAGTAGGAATTCAGCCTATTGCTTGGATATATACAATTCGCCAGGGACAGGTTTAACGCCTCCTTCAGTGCCAGCTTATCACGTCAAAAAGTTCTGACTACAAAATTGTGTGATGATGCTGTTCAGATCACAGATATCCATATGAAATGGGTAGAATATTATCAGTAACAAAGATACTAAAGGGGTTTTCCATATACCTTTGAATGAAGAATTTGGCTTTCCAATGCTACCATTCTATTTATATGCCCGATCCACATAAAAGTCTGTCATGACTAAAAATTAACCCAACAAAATATACTGTTTGTAAGACCCTGTACAATCATGTCTGCATTATTTTCTGTGCTAAATATATCTCAACAGAAACAGTGGCCAGAAAAAATGCATTCCTTCATATCCAAGAGCTACGTTTCGACCTCGCCTGTGAGCACTTCTAAATCATCACCTCTCAGCCAGCCTAAGCTGAACAGGTAAGCATCTAATTTGAAAGGGAAATTGGTTTTGTTCCCTAACTGGTATTCTACCAAACCAAAGAATTAATGAAGTAATGCTGATGAAGCCCCCTTGCACTCGGCAAGGAATACATCACTTCATCGTGGGCAGCTGCGTGGCCCTGCCAGCATGCTCAGGTTCCAGAGCTTTCAAGAGATGATTTACATATTACAGGATTAAGAACAAAATAAATTTTTAAGGTTCCCTGTTTCAGTGATGCTTATGCCTTCCATAGATATGTCACAGATATCCCTCCTCAGCTACAAAATCCTTTAATGCACTTTTTATCACCTTTCTTTACTGCCTTTAGTCATTTCAACTATCCACTTTCAGAGGCTAAAGACTAATTGTAATTCTCTTTTATTAAATTCCCCAGCCAAGCAGTCATCTGGCACTATTGCTTCAGTGTGTCTAAACTGTGCATTCTTTGTTATTCACACATGTGAGCCGAGCTGACACAGAGGAGGACGAGAGGGACATATGCTGAAGCACACGGCAAACCCCAGAAATTAGCTTGAAAGGAGACTCGGCAGCTTGTGTGTGTTGCATACTTTTTCAGTTAGATGCTAATGTGATTAAAGTATCAGGACACAACAAAATTAAGGTTATGATCCTTTGCTTATTGAAGACAGGAATTCTTTCTTCTCTGTGCTGTGGATCGGCCTTGTAAAAGTGAGCTACTGCCTCAAAACCACATACAAATAACTTCTGCATTCACATAAAGCGCCCTGGTTACTTGTTCTTATGAATCCAGAAAAGGTGTTTAAGAGAAATTATACAAACAAAAACGTGAAGCTTCTGTCAGGCAAGCAACATTAATATGTACAGAAATCAAGTTTCTCCATTGAGCCATGGGAAGCAAGAGAAAACGTGGGAGAGGAGGTGAAGTGGTAAGTTGATGATTCAGACTTCACAATCAAATTTAGAGATACAGAGATCAAAGAGCGAGCTGTTTAGAAAGATGTAAATCTAAAGTCAGGAACAGGTGTGGATTAGTTTCTTGCCACTGAAAAATGATTTCTTTATTACTTTATTTTTCCTGTTCTACTTCAGGACCTGTATCTACCGATATTTGTCTATGTAAGGAGCTTTCTCACTTCTGTTTGCAACTACTGCTTTCTTGTCCTGCTATTTTAAGCAGAGTTCTAAAAATCTATCATTAATGATAACTCTTTCTCCTTCTCTCCTCTCTCTCTCTCCCCCTCTCTGTTCTAAGTCTGGAAGACAAGTCTGGACCAATTTCACCATCCTGCCTCTGGCAGCAGAATGCAGCATTTCAGATCCTCCACCGAGTCCCGGCTGCTTCAAAGGAAAAGCCCTACTTTCTTCCGTTAAGATCATAAGAAATATAGGGGGAGGGGGTCAGCTCTGTTTGGACATAATTACACTTCATCAAAAGAAGCTTTCTTCATCTTCCATGCGTGAAAAGTCTGCAAGCAGTTAAGTCTGTCTTTTTTCTTCCTTTTTTTTTTTTTTTAAATATAAAAATTGCTATTTGGGAAACTAGCCAAAACTCAGAAAGCCAATATAGTAAAACAGTGCACACCCTTTGTTTTTCTTTGAAGTCTCTTAAATAAATATGTTGAGGGTTTGAAAAGTACACTATCACTTTTCCATAGATTCTACCCAGATTGATCAGAGAAAAAATCTATTCCAAGTCTGCAAGATACAAATATAAATTAAACTACTGGAACCAAATTTTAGGAGGTTTGTGTTTGTATGTGTCTGTAGCCGTATCTACTGAGGCTTCAGGCCCTCTATTTCATTTCCTATGCTTTAATAAAAAGTATATATCATAGGTTTCAAATGAAATCCACAGATCAGAGGTAGTACATCACATTTCAGTTCTTTTTCAGCACTACTGAAAGACTGATACACTACTGAACTTATACTGTAAGGCAGCAGTAGTGATAGAGCCAGAGAACTTTCAAACCTAATCCATCAGCAGAATAACAAAGCAGATGGGTTCTTTTAAAGAAAGCAAGACAAATGGAAGAGAGAGGTAACACCTTATCCAAAAGGGCAATGAATTACGTATTTATATTGCACTACTGTTGCAATAGTTACTCTGTCTTCCAAGTTATTCTTTATTATCGATACTTTTCAAGTTGTAAAATGATAAAGAGAACTGTTGGCCAGGCCATTAAAATAACAAAATAGCCACTGTAAGCCATGCTTATGGACTCAGTTTCACAAAGCACTTGCAAAAGTGTGCTGACTCATTTAGATTATCTAGGCCTCTGTCATATGTTTAATTTTTATTTTTGGACAAATACTCTTTCCTTCCTTAAGATGAATTACAACTGCTTTCTAAAGAATATTACTGTAAAATTAGCTTTATTGCTAATTTCTCAGTGCAACTGTTCAGATTCTGTTGCTTTGTTTTGTCCCATGCAGGGCTAGTTTAAAAAAATTAATAATTACTTCAAATACATAAAAGAAAAAATACGTAGGTTGAATCAATGACAGATACAACAAACCCCTCTGAAGATTCCTGAAGCAAAAACTGAAGTGCCAGCTTCCTTCAAGCTATCCTTTCAATCATTATCTGAAATTTGAAAGCAGCTACAAGACTCTTAAAGAGGAATTCTTGCAGACTTGCAATGATTACAAAGGCTTTCTATGAGTGCACTGTCGTTTCCAGATTATAGGAAGCTCCTAAACAGCTGGAAGACAATGACAGCACTCTATATATCTTCAAAAAAAAGTAAAAAATAATAATTGAAAGTTACCCTGTCATTTAAAGTAAAGTTTAAACTTAGTTCAAGCCCAAGCTTACCAGGAATTCATAAAAAGTGAGCCAGTTTACTTAAAAGAAAACTATGGCTTATTTTTGCAGGTCATATGCAGTTTGATTGTAAAGGGCAGGGAAGTCACTAGAAAGCTTTCCACCAATAGCTGTAAGCCTTTAAAGATGTATGCTCTTAAAGAATATAACCTATAGCACATGTGATATGCAAAAGCCCCTTAATTATAGGTCTTTTACAACTTCAGAAGCAGCTCTACTGCTAAAGGGAATTCTCCATCTCTCACTGCCATGGCCTGAGATACACTCTGTGACTCCACATAACCCAGGTCACAAATACCCCCATTTCCTTCTACCTTTGCTGTGTGATTAAAATAGGGAAGGAGGTATTCTGTGAATCATTTTTCAAAACCCGTGTCTCATAAAAATGTACGAAGACATGAGGAGTCAGAAAAACTTAGGAGGAGCTCTTAACTTGCTTTGCACAAATGCTGAAGTTTGCAAATAAAACATGCACTCATCCCTCCAAATGAAAGGCCGACAGCAATTTATTTACAGGTTAATCAGAATTTCATTGCAAAGTAAGTTTTTACGTCTAGACGTTGTTCTTACTTCACTACGGACACAGAAAACGCAGCGGCCTACCTCTTCCACTTCTGCCCACAAATCGCAAGTCATTAAATCTGGCCACCTGGTTCTTCATCACGGCAGAAGCGTTTCGCAGCTCTGCAGAGTAGTTCTCGTCGTTTCCAGCCATGACAGTGACCACCGTCCCATCAGGCACTTCTCCTAAGGCCACCACCTGTCAAAAGGGGAAGACAACCACAACTCGTGAAGCAACACTTTGAAAACGCGTGTCTCCGTCCCAGCTTTGCAGGCTGCCATGCTCATTACGAAGCTCTGTGGCAGCTCCTCCGGCCCACTGTGGTGAAGAGTCATGTACGAGCTGAACACAGAACAAAGTGCCACATCAAACAAAGAAACATCTTGTATTGTCTCCCTTTCTCATAGCCTAATAGGGAGTTTCTTCTTTGTCACATTTCTTCAGAAACATTCAACATCCTTATGTAGAGTGTATGGTTTAACGCTTCCTGAAGGCCAACTTTGTTCTTAGCAACCAGTGAGCTGCGAGAAAACACGAGGCATGGCTCGTATCCATAAATTATACGCGGGAACGCATTTGAAATGGAAAGTTAGAAATTACTATTAGCAGCCTTCTCCCCCAGATTTGGTTCTACTTCTTTGCTGGGTGCACCCATCACCCTTACCCCAGAGCTCCTCAGACTTCAAGCTAGAGAGAAACCTGCCATCTACCCATCCCAGGAGTGGCACCGGGGGCATTAGCAAAGCTCTCCACCCAACACGCTGCTGCGATGGAGCACTTTATGGCTGGAATTCAAACTCTTCAGGTGCAATATAAAACAAAGGCTGTATTTCCTTGCAGGCATGTAAATTTTCATAGCGCTCGTAAGAGTCGCATGTGGTTAGCGCTGATACCTCCCTCAAAATTCCAGGATGAGTGAACAGAAGATATCAAAGTGTTTCTCCTTACGTTTCAGATAGCTGATAGTCTCACTTTTACGCTTCAGTAGTTGTGTAGTGCTCCAACATCTGGTTAGGTAAATGCCACAGAGCAGACAGCTATTGCCTTCTAATTCCAAAATACCAGGGTTACCTACAGTGTTACTCCACTGACTTTTTAAAGTAAAAAAGTTAAACAGCAATACTAAGTTATTAGGAAGGAAATATACGTATTTCTTCACATGGGGCAAAAAAGTCCACAAAAGTATCAAGAAAGTAATTTCCTTTTTCCAGTTAGCTAATACAACTGCTGAAAATAAATTTATAACAAAAACAGAGTCAGAAATATTGCATGGCTAGCTCAAACTTAAAAAAAAAATAATCTTGAGATACAAAGTCTGTCCCCTTGCAGTTTCTCCCAGTTTACAGGGTCAGATATGACTTTTTATGTTATTCAGAGTAATTTATTCTGTCTGCTGAAATATATATTACATTTTGTCAGAAGCCCTGCTTGAAATGTCTTTCCCATAAATGATCCCGGCTGAAACTAATAATTGCAGGTTGCACTGTAATATTAATTAAGAGGAAAGAATGAGGAGTTCTGAATATATAGGGAGAGCATTATGTGCCCAGTGCACTGTACAATGTTCCTCTAAAACAATGAAAGCTACTAACAAAGGCATACAAAATCTGAAAATATTTAGAATAGACTATATTATTGAAAATTATAGCTCGTCTTATTTAAAAGAAATATTGACTAGAAACAAGAAAGCAAAGCTGAAACGCTGTATAAAAAGGATCTACCCTGGTGCTTTTCTGTTTTCCATAAAACACCAGGTAATAGCACCCAAAACTGAAAACCGAGTTTTGCCACAAACTACTGTGAGGTCTCTGTCTACCAAGCAAAGATTTCACTTTAAAGCGATATGAACGCCCCTGAACATAAAAACACAGGAACCACCGCTGTGGATAAGATCTGAGGTCCCACTAGCTCACTGCCTTGGGTCTGACAGCAACCAGGTCTGACGGCTTCAAAGCGAGGTGTAAGGAATAATAAATAATAATCAGATAACAAATAATAATCTGCTGAACAGATTATAAAGCTGAGTCTAACCCTTAATGAAAGGATATTGGCTTAAACTCTAAAGCATGGGGCTTGAGACTACTTAGAAAACACCCCCTTCCCCGTTTGCAATAGCCCACGTTATCTCTGGACAGTCGTGTTACGCACATTAGCATCCAGGGGAGTTGCAACCCATGCTTTTTATATCTCACGAAACAGAAAAAAAATCACATTAACTCCAGAAATGCAAAGAAGTCGAGAGCACAGGAGGAAGTGTGAGTCTGCCAGGGGCCTCGGAAGAGGGAGCGAAATAACTGCAGCCTCAGCTCACCTCTTTCTCTCTAGGTAACCAGAGCACGGAGCAGGCAGCGGCATCACTTCTCCATCTCAACCCGGTCTCCTGAACACGGGTACAGCGTGCAACACCTGGGCAGGAGGGAGCACGACCTCTAAAAAGGTCCCCCCCATCCCCTGTTGCTGTTCAGAGCTTCCCGCCCTACCCTTCCCACTCGACGATGTCAGTTCAATTTGTCAGCTTCGACATGAGCCGAAACCTGCACGTGCTGCTGCCGGAGTCGTTGGGCTGCCAGCGCCTGAGCAAGAACTGCATCATGACTGAAATGCACCGGCTTTTTGATGCAGTGTGATGCAATATTGCTGTTCGTCTCATTTGGAGAAGACCGAAGGAAAAGGCAAACTGAAATCAGAGGTGAAAATAAAAACTTTGGCTGATAAAAGGAAGCCCTATTACATGGGAAGCTCCCCTGGTATGCAACAGAAGTAAAACACTTGTTCTTTTCATAATTTCATACTTTTCTGCCATGAAATACCAGAAGACTATTGCACACACACACATAATAACACCGGTCAGAAAAAAGCTTTGCGATACAATTTGAAATCTGGAGAAATACACATCATTTTGAGATTTTTGAAAAGTAACTTTACATACTGAAAGACCGCTGGCATAAACCTTGATTTGGTAATTTATGCCATGTATCAATCCAAAATTAATTACATATTCTTAGAAAGAGGGTTGTAAATGCACTGTGAAATGAGCAAGGACTGCATAAAAAAGAAAAGATTAAAAGTACCAACAGTGCCCATTCCTCACCTTTTCTTCAAACATAAATATCTTTACTGTTTCAAAATCTTTATTTTCCATATTAAACTACCTACACATTTTGATGATTAAAGGCAGGTTTTGCTTTTGCTTTTTTTTTTTAACTAAAGCTCAAAAAGGTACACGAAGTCAGATGAAGCCACAAAATAAAACCAAACCAATTCGAACAAGTTGAAAATAACACAATTCTCGTCTGCTTAGGCAACCTGTTTGCCCAGTTTCGGTCCAGTGGGATTTGAACTGGCCAAAGTATGTACCCTAAAGACGGAAGTTAGAAGTACGAAGCAAAACTACTATACAACAGCAGGTACTAAGACCTTCTGCAGAATAAAATGCTTGTTTCGAAAAAAAAAGATAGAGTACATGCTAACTAATTCCTCCCAAACATTGGTATCTACCACTTCAACAACTTTTCTTGCAGAACACTGAATTCAAACAGCCTCTCCATGTAAAATCTTCCGTATTGAGGATGCCTTCTCCAGAGATTGCCAAAAGAGCATCTGATACTATTAAAAATATTTTAATGTTCTGTAACTTAAAACAGAATAACTGATTTGCACTACTTTTTGTTTCAAAATATACATCTGGGCTGACAATTTATACAGCAGGTTTCAGCTTGAAGCTATTTAAAACAGCTGAGTTATAAACTCTGAAAATTGGGGAGTGGAAGTGGAATTGGAGTGGAAATGCTGACAGACCCTTAACTACTGTGGTGCTACTGGGGAGAGGTTTTAGACTTCACGTCCCTCTTTTTATCCCTCCCTTTAGGTCCACTAAAACTCTTTGCTACTATCAGCATCACACAGAAGCCACTTGTAACATCTAACGTGGCAATTTGGGTCTTTATGACTCTCAGTAAAATCTCCCAGGCAGACACAGAAACAGAGGGCCAAATTCCAACGACTCTGCTCAAATAAAGTACCGCTGGCTATTAAGAAGTGAGTATGATTTGGGCGCGGGTGCCCAGTATCTATTTCTTTTATGGTGGAATATCACCAGCAAGTTAGAAGTATATTAATAGGTATATCTCTAATCCTCTTCCTCACAAACCCAGTTTGCATTAACAATCTTATTAGTTAGTACACTCAACACGGACTCCCTCCCCAGTGCGTGTAAATATTAATAGTTAGAATTCAAATCTAATACTAAGCCAACATTATTTCAAAAAATTATAATCAAACCCAGCCCTGTTTATACCATACTTCCTCTCCTGCATATGATTTATATCTGTTTTTTTAAATCAAAACAGTGCTATATCCCAAGTACTTTTTAACTAGAGATCGCTGCAAGAGAATTATGACACACTTAACACACCACTCAAAACATTATCATCAACGTATTATTTATTGCCAATAAAACTTCAAAAAGTGTGCTTTCTGTGAGCTATTTTACTTTCAAGTTACTGTTGAGCTGAGATTTCTATAGCCTAAATCTGTCTTTTTTTTTTCTTTCCAGAGATAATTCCCATTCTGTTACATCACAGTCAAGTGTTTCGGTGTATGATACATGCAGCTTCTTTCGTCTAAAAGTACTGGAGAGCTGCACACAAGTTACACTTGAAAAATTAAATGAAGTTTTAAAAGTGGTCAAAACTATCTCAGCTCAAACTCATTTACCAGTAAATAAGGGCGTATATATCTTTGGCGTGTTAGAAAAAGTACACATCGCATGTTGCATGTGAAAACAGAGATGCACCCACAGCGGAAGGGTGCAAGGGGCAACGCAGACTCCTGATGTGTCAGGAAATTGGTCAGATCTATACCTCCCTGTCAGCAATCAAATATAGGACCCAAGTATATGACATATATAAATATGTATTTGTGAACACAGAAAGATTGGGAAATGCTCTAAAACTTTTTCTATCCTTTTATCACACGTAAGCATTCTCATTGTAATAATATTCTAAATATTTTAATATTTAGTTTAGATCTTTCCCTTATTCTAATGAACTCTGACCGCATCCTTTGAATTGCTGTAAGGTAGGAGAAGGCTCAGACATTTCAAATGAAAACTGCAATGCGTGTACAACAATGTAAGAGCTCTCGTGTCCCTTCTATAAAGAGTAACTATAATACCAACTTAATCTAACGCTCAATTAAATTATAATCACAATTCTCTGAAAGCTCCTCCTCCCTACCCTGCAGCCCCTGTGAATCAGAATCACCGTGATCCACACCCAGAGAGCCTTTGAGTGCTACGCCGAGTCACGAAAACAGAAGACACCCCAGTTTTCTG